TGAGCTCCCAGGGCTCCTTCCCTGCTTCTCACTTCTGAGACTCCTTGTGCATCTTTCCCAGGGACCCACTGTAGCTGACAGAGTGTTAGCCAAATGCTGGCTAGAAAGAAAATCCAAGAGGAAGCACAGAGTAAGCTATTTTCCTTTCTTGTTCAGGGAAGATTTTTCTCTTAAAGCCTAGAATAGGAATATTTGGTTCTTTGTCCTAAAATTACAATACTTTGAGCAGAGATTAAGTTTTGGTGATTTTTCAATAAAATGGAAGATATAGAGGCAAAAGTCCCCCCCCCCATACGAAGCCTTACTAATTTAACAGTTCAGCTTGAGCCTAAGCAATGTCAGCCTTTGCACATAAACAGGTTCCCAGCTCAGTTCAGATATGCAATAAATGTGCATGTGGCATTAGTTGTCTCTTCTCTAGTAGGAATACTAGAAAATACAGAGACTGTATTTTCGGGCATTTTGGCTCAAACATTAGTTGAGTTATATATTGTCATGTATTATGTAGTGGAAGTAAGAACTAATTCGTACCATGTAAAATATAAAACATGCCTAACATTACTCGTGGCAAGGACTGGTTGGTGCTCCCTGCATTGTTATAAATGTGTCTCACTGACTGATGTTGAGACTAAGTCAACCACACAGGACACTTCCACATCACCTCTGGCAGAAATCTACATGCCATAGACAGAATTGTCTCCATCACCATGAAAATATAAATACTACATTATATTAGGAGGTGATATGGTACTTTATATGCAACAACAGAGAGAAGGAAGTGCTGTCCACATTAGGTGATTAACAATCAGCCATCCATCCATTAATTTTCGAGTATTTACTGAATACTTACTAGGTACCAAATAGTGTTCTAGACACTGAGGTAGAGTGGTAAATAAGAGATGAGGCCCCCCTTCTCATGGAGGTTACATTTTAAAGTAAAAAGATAGTCAACAAACAGACAGAAACAAACCAGAAAAGATCGAGTGATAAATATAAGGATGAAAAACTAAACTCTATGTTCTGTGATAGCAACTGGGTGGTCAGGTTCAGCTTTTCTGAGGTGTTGGTACCCAAGCTAAAATCTGGATGACAAGAAGCAGGCTGCCACATGAAGATCTGAGGGGTGTGTCCCCACAGAAGGCAGAGCAGGGACAGTGGGTAATGAGGTTGTCGTGTGAGAGGTACAGAGGGAATCACAGTGGCCCCTGGGGATCATCAAAGGACTGAAGAACAGAAGGAGATGGAAAAGGCATTGGTATCTGGTCAAGAGGCAGGATGGTGACAAAAATATAGGGTTTAAAGATGGAATAAAATGTGAAATAGAAGGAATATTGGAATCAGATGATATAAAAATGTAAGATGAGACTTCAGAAAAATTCAGCTTGCTCCAGGCATGAGATTCTCCTCTGGGTCTTCCTAGTGTGAGAACTGTCTCCACTAAATCTGATCCACAGCACCTTTCTTTATTTGTCTTGAAATGAAGAACGAGGCACTTTTCATTCTTTTAAGAATCTCATATCCCTCTACAGTGTCTACAACTTATCAGTTTTCCCTTGATTACCAACATAATACATGTTTATGATGGAACATTTGGAAAATACAGATAAGCTAATGGAAGAAATATCACTCCAAATCCAGCCAGCCAATACAACAGCTGTTAACAGATTCTCTTTATGCTTATAAAGTGCAGTAATTCAGAATACGGGCCCTGGAGTAGGGGTGAAAAGCATGGCTTAGAAACTTGCTAAATGAGTGCAACTCATTTTTCAATTGATCATAATTGCTTATAAAATGCCATAGAACTGTCTGAAATCTCTTTAAACCTCAGTTTTCTCATCTACAAAATGGGAATAGTAATATTACCTTCTTCATAAAACTACTAGGAGGATTAAATGAGATCATCCATATAATGCTCCTAACTGGCACACCGTATGTACTTTAACATGTTAGGTATTATGCCATTTTTATTTTACTAAGTTGGGATCATATTGTAAAACTGTCAGTAAAATACACTATTAGTCCAATCATCAGTAGACATTTTTACATGATCTTAAATAGTTTTCCATAATGTAGTCTTTAATGGTTATACAGCATTTTACTATAGAGCTATAATTTAGCTAATTCTCTATTCTGGGATGCTTAAGCTGTTTCCAAATTTTCACTATTTAAAAAAATTATTGTAAACTTTCATGCTTATTTCTCTAGGATAAATTCTAAGGAGTGGCTGGGTCAAAGGGTATGTATACTTTGATGCATTTCATCATATCTTCTCCATGAATTAAATTATACCCTTGGATAAGAATAATGTTGGGAGGTGAATAGTCCACATACATGTGAAGTTTCGTAGGTCTGATTTGCCATCAGCTTAGTGAAATAGTCCCTTCTACCCTCTGCCTTTTTTCTCCACAGCTGTTCATACCTTCTGGTCAGCAACATCCTCCATCATTCCCTAAGGAAGCTTCTCAGTTCCAGGCTTCCAGATGAGCCAATCTGGTTACAATTTTCTGATTTGCTGAGGATGCTGTACTTACAAGTTCATTTTACTTGAAGCCATAAACTCATAGGGTTTTAGTATATTAGAAGTCCAAGCCCCTCATTTTGTAGATTAGGAAACTAAAATAGACAGAGCAAGTGATTTGTCCAAGTTGGTCTATGCTATTAGACAGCTAGTCAGGGTTGCCTCATTTCTTTATCTCTAGTACCTAGTTCAGCAGTCAGCACATGCAGACAGCCTGTATCATTTGGTGAGTGAACGACTACTTGAAGTAACTTACAGGCTCCAAGGATTCTAAGATGGAAAGGAAGATAGAAGTGTGGAAACTGAAGCTTATACTGGTTAATGAATGTATGTTGTCATTTAGCTATTAGTAGTAAGTTAGAATAACACATTGGTCTCTCAATTCCCTGGAGAGATAAGCAGAAGACAAGGCTTTGTGGGGTGGGATGGGCATCATGCAGAGAAGGGATTAAACGAATTCTGCCTTGTTCCAGAAAGCAAAGCCAAGACAAAGAAAACTGGAAGTTTCTGGTAGGCCAATTTCAGCATCATACAGGGAAGCGTTTTTAATAGTTAGTACTGTCTAAAAATGGAAACAGATTTTCTTGAAAAGAAGTTGCCCCTAATTTGAAGTATTCAAACAAAAACAGGGTATGTTTGAATATATAATTTGTTAAGTGTGTTTGAAAAGAAAACAAATTTTGATTTGTGTGCCTGGTTGAGATAGATGACTACTAGACCTTCCCAAAACTTAGATGAAATGACTTTATGAATATATGTACACACACAGATGGATAAACGAATAATTTTTTGCTTATTGATATGTTACTTTTGTAATTAGGTCTCTTGAATTTGAACCCATTGTGTTTCTCATTATAAATGGAACCAGATAAATTCTAATGTCTTTACTGACCCAAGATTCTATGGTTCTAAATCATCTTTTTAGTGATAATTCAGTGTGCTACACATAGTAGGAATTCAAAAGATCAATTTAAATTAGCTCTTAAGTCTGGAAAAATCTACACTTAAGATAAATTGAGTTACAGGCTCATGCAGTTGAACAATTTGAACTCAGATGGTCTCAATCAAATATATCAGTTGATCACATTCAAGAACACTAATGCATTAACATTTTTAAACTAAAAAAAGGATAAAATTAAAAGAAGAAATTTGGTGGATTGTATTGTGATGAGCTAAAGTTCTCTTATCGGATTGCTGAATGATATTAAATTATGGCTAGAATTATTTTCTAGACTATAAAGAACCTTTCAATATGAAACTGAAAATATGATTTAATTGCACTTCAAGTATGGAGTTACTGAAAGATTGCTCATAGTATAATAATGCATCCAAATCCTAGTGGTAAGACAGCCACGTGAATGAACCATATCACAGGAATACTTTCAATTTTCAAGATTTCATATCAGTAATGGAAATAGAGGTCCTAATGAATTCATACTTGGGTTTGGTTAAAAGCTCCACTCTTACATGGCAATCTAGCAAAGCTCTGATGAGTATCATAGATGGGGTCTGTGATGTACTCTTTGTGATTCCAACCAGGGAGGAAATTGATAAAAAGACAGCAAAGTTTGCTTCTTTGGTGGCCTCCCTTCCTCCTTTCCTTTTTTCTTCCTCTTTCTCTCTATGTTTTTCTCACTAGAAGGCTAATAAAAAGGGGGGGTGCCTGGGTGGTTCAGTTGGTTAAATGTCCAACTTCAGCTCAGATCATGCTCTCACGGTTCATGAGTTCAAGCCCTGTGTCAAGCTCTGAGCTGTCAGCACAGCTGACAGAATCTGGAGCCTGCTTCAGATTCTGTGTCTCCCTCTCTCTCTGTCCCTTCCCTGTTTGCACTCTGTCTCTCTCTTTCTCTCAAAAATAAACATTAAAAAAAATAAAAAAAGAAATTAATATTCAAATTAAGCATTTCATTTGATTTATCAACATTGTCATTGTTTTGGACAATCTTAACAGTAAAAATTGATGATTTGAGTCAATATGGGATATCCACTGGCTAGAATATCTCGTAGACTATCTCAGCCATGCTTTTTATCTCACCCAGTTAGAAAAATGTTTATTTCAGGAGGAGCATGACCTTCTCTGTCTTTCAGACATCGTGCTAGATGCTAGAGAGACAAAAATACCTGGCATGAAACTTGGAGTCATAGCAAATTCATAGAAAAATATTAGGCATGAAACTCACAGAGACATAGCAAATTCATAGCACAGGGTCATCATGGAACACAGACAAGGCTCAGAGATCTTTCTGAGTCAGGCCTCCAGACAGATTGCTAATCTGTCCCAGAATTGACACAGGAATTGGCATTTATTAGCCACCCAGGTCAGAAGTTCTCTGGTAACAGATCTCATTCTAACATTCATTATCATGGTTATTTCATGTCTATAAAGGAAGACTCATTTCATATGTATCCTGCTGAAGTTTGAGTTTTTGAATTCCACTCCCAGCAACATGAAGCAGAAAAAATAATTGAAAAAGAAAATTACCTCCACTGCTGCTTTTGCCCTTTCAAATTCTTCTTCTAAGGAGTGGTTTCTGGAAAGTAACGCACTTCCCCAGCGCTGTTCTTTGGTTAGTCGAGCCTGAAATAAACCAAACACATGGTGTTATACTACTGGAATTACTGAATACGAAGATATAAATATTTTTCCTTTTCTCATATTTCCCTAGAGTTTAAAAAGCACCCACAAAGGATGCTATTTTTGGAGTACTTTGCAAGCATGACGTTACCCGAACTGGGATGGTACAAGAATGTGTATAAACATGCATGCATGGTTCTTCTAAGAGTGGGTCTCAGCCCTGGTCGTGTTAAAACCAAAGCCCAGGTCCAGCTTCCCAAAGATCTTCCTTTAATTGGTCATGGTTCCAGGAATTGATATTTTAGTAGCCTCCCCATAAGATGGAGCATCTAAGATGAAGAATCTCCATTAGAAGCCAAGACCTAGAAACTGATATTCAGGCTTCCAGCTCATTAGGAGGACAAGCTTCAGGTAAAACTGTAAGCTGCAGAGATAAAAGGTGCTGTGAGGCCTTTTTTCCTTATATAAACAGCAGATCCTCATGCTGACTTCTCTTTCCTTTGCTTTCGCTCTATTGACACGCATCTGCCTCATGTCCCATTTCCTCAGGACATTGCTCTATTAAATGGTAATCACTTAGATAAGATTATGTTTGTTAATGCCAAGTGGTTTGTCACAATTAACAGGCAATGTGAAAGACATCTTCACTTAGCTAAATGCAAATATTCAGAAGACCATCCTCCAGCCCCCTAAAGATCTGCTGGAATTTTTAAAATGTTATTAATTTTTAATTTCACAAAAACTAAATACATTCTTTTTGAAGAAATTAATCATGGGAAAGAAGAGATATACCTCTAGAACTTCTTTTTGTTTGCATATATATTTATGTACCTTAGATAGTAATGTGTTTCAAGATTTTTTGAGACGTCAATGGTATGCTATTCTGTAGCTTACTTTTCCCCATTCAACAATATATCTTGAAGAGTGTCCATATTTAGTATTTATAGACCCACTCCATTCTTTCCCAGGGATTTCCTAGTAATGTTTACACTGTGGTTTGTTCAGGCCTTTTCTCATGAGCACTCAGGGTGTGACTTTTTTCCACGTAATTGCTTATTTCCTTGTCTATCTTTCTGCTACACTGTGTGATCCATGAGGGTAGGATTTTTCTGGTAATTTTTGTTCTCCCCTGTACCTAGCGTAGGGCCTGACCAGTGATATGGGCCCTAAGGATGCCTACAGACTGCTGGATGAGGGACTGCACTGGTAAGGCAGCTAGACCTTGGGGACCAGGAGGAGGGATGCTTGTGGAGTGAAGCCCCCCAGCGCTCTTTTATTGCCTTTTATCCATGTGTTTGATTACTCTTCTTTAGAGATGCTCAACCTTGGCTTCTATGGAATTACTTGAACAGGCCTGGGCCCCACCCTAGACCAGTTAAAGAGTTTCTGGGGGTAGGGCCTGGGCATTAAATGTTTAAAAGCTCTTTTGGTGATTTTGCAAAGCAGTCATGTGTGAAAACCACTGTTCCACAGCAAAATTTTGCCCTTCACTGAGCACTTACCATCTATATAGCTTAGCTGCTTTTCATGTTTTTCTTCGCCATCGCTGGTCCTCAAGAGGACCCCCACCCCCTTATTATTACACAGTAGTAATACCAGAGCTCACTACATGCCAGATGCTGCTTCAAGTCCTTTAGATACTATGACTCACTTTGTCTTTTCAATAACTCGTGAAGTAGGTATTGTCATCAACTCCACGAAATCGGAGCACAGAAAGCGAATTGGCTTGCCTGACATCACACAGCTAGTAAGAGGTAGGGCTGAAGCTCTGAGCCTTGTTCATAACCACTGCACTATGCTGCCTCTCATAGGAAGCTATGCGCAACTGGCCATTTTGGGAAGATGCAAAATACAGAAAACTTTCTCAGACGTTCATGCATGGTTGAGGGAATCAACCAAGAAGCCCTCAAGAATATTGTGGGCTGAAAATAATAATGATGTAATTGTTATGCACAAATAAAATTGTTATGCAGAAATAACAGTCTTAGACTGTGTTTTGCATTAATGAACAAGGAAGGTTAATTTATTGAAACCTTAATTTATGTTTTCTCCTCCTTGATATATTCACTGCTGTGTCCCTTGTATTTTCTACAAACAGTAGCTGTTCCATAAAGCAGTCAGTAAATATTTGTTGAAAATATGCTGTTGGAGAATATATGAATAAATTCACTAAAGGCATTTCTCTTCCCTACTCCCAGAAGGTAGCTATGTATTCTCAGTCAAGGTTTCTTGGTCAATCCAGGAGGCTAAGGGGGATTTGTAGGAAATTGAGAGGGGATTTATTTTTGGTCCTGCACCTGGAGTGGCGGAGGTCTGGTTAGCAAGGCCCTACGCCCTGGTTCTGTGCGTGGGGAATGGCTGCAGGGTGCCTTAGCGGAATGCCTGTTAGCAACACAGGGGTGAGGCCTTTGGAATGGCGTCTGTGGTCAGAAGAGGCAGGATAATGAAGACACATCCAAGTCTGCATGGGCATCAGCGCCTCATTCTCAGGTGGGCCAGGCTCAGTGACCACCGTGAACAAGCAACTTCTCTTAGTCTCTGGGCCTGTGAAAGCTACAACTTTCTCTCAACCCAGATAACTGAGGTGGGGTTGTGGGGAGAGAGCCCCAAAAAAGTAAGTGGGATTGACTATCACAGGTTCCAGAGATTAGAATGCAGAGGTAGCTCTTTTTGGGGGCCACTGTATATCCCACTACAACCCTTAGCTGACACTCTTGGGTCACAATACATTTGGGTCACTTTACAAATATAAAGGTGCAGATGGTTTACAAAGTTTTAAAATTGATAAGTTGTTAGGATGTTATAGCCTGGTAACAAAGTTAACACCAAAGATGTTATGATCTTATTGTCTTGTAGAAAGTTAACCAATCTTATATCAAATGTGGCAATCTTACTCTGGCATTTCTTTCCCAACCACCTCCATAGATCTCTGTTCCGTTACTTTGGAACTGACTCTTGTCTTCCTGCTGGTTCCCTCATTAATGAAATAAATAAATAAATTTAAAAAATGTGGACACATGGTGAGAAATAAGCTGTGCATTTATATAATAATGTTATAAATGACCCATGAATGCCATGAGAAGAAAGAGAAAGCACTAATATTTTTGTCCCAAGGCACCTCCTTTTATTAGAGGAACTTTTTACCAGTGAAATATGATCTGTCTTGACTATGAAGCCTGACCTAACAGAACTCCATTACTGTCACCGGCTTCCCTTCATCAATGTTTCACGACCCAAGTGGATTATGAATCACAGGATGCAAAGAGCACCATATATCAGGAAGAAGAGGCAAATCTCTCTCTCAGGATTCTACACTTACAGTTCATATCCTCTTTGCCACTTAAAACAGCAAGTGTAAACAGAATCCTACCGTGCAAATGAAATTTTATTTTGGTACGACAGTTACTATTTAGGTAGTGCTATTTTCCACATAGTTAGAAAGACCACATAGAAAATGCATCTACCTCACATTTTAAAGGCATTTATTTTATCCAAGGAAGCTAAGCTAAATGTTATAAAATATAGAAAAACACTGAATGTAAACAAAGGCAGTTTTCAAGCCAAGAGTAATATACAACTTAGAAGATTCTGAAACTTTTCAGCCCCCAGACATACTGGTTTAGGATTGACAGTGAAATGCGGATTCTAACACATAAAATCAGCCTTTCTTTCAACCAAGACTTTAAAAAAAATTATTATCTAATTTCATTATAGGCAAAAACTGTCATCTGGGGAAACAGCTAAGCAATGCTGGTAACTGCAGATATTGCTCAGTACTTAACTGGAGGAATGGTCAGCAAAAACAGTTACAGTCATACATTTGAGTTATGGCTGTTTTGGTATCACAGTGGCTGTATTAGTTAGTTCTCAAGCTTGAGTGGGCATCCGAATCCTTTGGAAATCTTGTCCAAACACAGATTGCTGGGCCCCACAACCAGGATTTCTGCTTCGGTACCTGTGGGTGTGGGAGTGGGGGTCCAGAATCTGCATTTCTAACAGGGTCCCAGATGAGGCTGATACTGCTGACATAGGGCCCTCACGATGAGAACTCCTGATTAGATGCTGACATTCTGTGTATGCAAGTGGAACTCTGGAGTTTACAAACGTACTCTGATGTCGGCATTTCTTTGCTTCGTTGCACGATTTTGAAAAATGCTCCACAATTACAACAACCTCCTAGAAGTGCCTTGGCTTTAAACATAGTATTTTAATTGGTTTAAGCTAATTGGATTTTAGGGTATTACACTCTCTACAGGAAAAGGATTTTGTTCTCCCGGCTGCTGATTGTTCTGAATGATAAGCATTAGGTGAAGGATAAGAAGAATTAAAGAACTCTTTAAGAATATGGTTTTATTCTCTTTATTCAAATTATGATTTGAAAACTACTGTATTTGTGGGTGTAGTTTACCTAGCATGATAACCGTTGGCTGACCTCTCTGTCGGTCTTTCATACCTCCTTACACAACTGTCTTTACATTACTGCTAGAGATCGCCCAGCAAAACCCAGTTTTAAAAAGCTCAATATCTTTTCAAAAGAGATTGATGGAGAAAAGGAGCTGCTTAACTGTAGAAAAGAAAAAATATAACAACTAGCAGACTTTGGGTAACAGTGTAACACAGTACTTAAAAGTATAATCTTTGGAGTCATACTGTCTGGGGCCAAATCCTGGTTGGATTTAATAGTAACTGGTGACCTTGGACAAATTACTCAATCTCTATAATCCTCAGTATTCTTACCTGCAAAGTGTATATTCACTTATAGAATCTGTACAAGAACTGAGTACAATAACTCATGTAACTGCACATACAAAATGCTCAGTACATACTAAGTGCTATAAAACTTGGCTTTTGTTATGATCTTTCTGGTTAGTGCTTGTCAGGTGTGACTTCAGAAATTCATTTAAAATTTTTGTTTAGTGGTTAATAGAGACTAGTTGGATTCTTTTTTTTTTAAGTTTAAAATATTTGTTTATTTGTTTTGAGAGAGAGCGTGTGTGTGTGTG